TACCATCCACATGATGGAGTTGTTGGATTTATGCCTCACGACACACTTCAGTTACAACGGCCAAACCTATGAACAAATAACAGGCACGCCAATGGGTTCACCGATATCTGGACTAGTGGCCGAAGCGGTGATGCAAGCATTGGAGGGAACCGCACTCCCGGTCGCAAAACCTAAACTCTGGCTACGCTACGTGGACGATACTTTTGTCGTCCTAAAGCGCTCGAAACTGGAAGAAACACATCAGTTAATAAACAACACGTTTACTGGTATCCGTTTCACTAAAGAAGAGGAGAACAATGGTCAGCTACCATTCTTGGATGTGTTAGTAAAAAGACATGTTGCTGGACAACTGGAGACAACAGTTTGTCGGAAAGCGACGCATACAGACCAAATCCTGAATTATCGCAGCAATCATCCAACAGTCTACAAACGCAGCTGCGTAACAACTCTATTTAAAAGAGCGCAGACACATTGCAGCACCCCGCAGCTGAGGAAAGCGGAGGAAGATCATCTATTCGAAATGTTTACACGGAATGGGTATCCTAGGAATTTCATTCTACGTTGTTTAACATCAATAAAGCGACCGACGCATGAACAAACATCAGAAACGGATAAAAAGACAATCATTCTACCATACATAAATGGTGTCTCTGAAATGGCGGCGAGACTGCTACTACCTTTCGGAATCAGAGTTGCTCACAAGCCGACGAAAACCATCCGAGACACGCTCTTCAATGGTAAGGACCGGCTTGGCAAAGAAGAAACAAGTGGTGTGATTAACAAAATCCACTGCAAAAATTGCAACAAATACTATGTGGGCCAGACAGGAAGAAAGCTCGGCACTAGGCTACATGAGCATAGCCTAGCCATCCGCCGACATGACCAGAACTCACTGATGTCAGTACATATGGACGCCGAGAATCATCAGTTTGATTTGGAGAATGTCAGGATCATAGGCAGGGCAAAAACTCGAAAAGCACGCGAGTTCATCGAGGCTTGGTACTCGGGAAAGAACTCAATCAACCGACACTTAGATCTTGATACTGCCTATGAAGCACTGAGGGTTAAAAGAATACTCCGCCCCAGATCAAAGGAACATCATTGAGGCAAAGTCTAGCTAATAGTATGCAAGAGTTGACTACACGGTCAGCTCACGTGGACCAAGGTTCCTGACGTTCGAATCAAGTGATCGATAATCACTTGGATCTGCAAGTGGCTCACATAAGTCGCACTGATGATGTCGTCTAGTCTGACGGTGAAACGTCTGCAACCAAATCAACCAGCTCGGAGAACACCCGCATACCCTCATCCGCATCCCGAGCTACAAATATTCTCACGGATTTAGCATTTTATAATTTTGCATAGTAAATTATTTTTTTCTGCTGCATAATAGCCGACAGGTAGCTAACCGGAACAATGCCCATCCGTTACCGGTAGCTCAGCTGGCTTGCACCTGTTGCATTTTATTCCCATTTTTCTTTTAATTATTGCGGCACAGTAGCTGAGGTGTTTCCCACCTCTAGCTAACGTGGATAGGTTGTGTGTGTGTTGGGAATGTGTACGCACTTTGACCCTGACTTTGCTTAGGGCATTTTAAATCCGAGGTTCCCGTTTTCCACTTTTATTATTTTTCATTCCTTAGATCATAGTGGTGCGCAGCAGCGAAGCCTCTGCTCAGATTACAGTGGTCATGTGTAAGTTTCAGCGCACTGTAGCCAACATGGCACAAACGGACAGAGGGGATTGAAAAGCGATAATGCAGATAGAAGGACAGTGAAATCACAGTGGGTAACGAAAAGTGGTGGACGTTAATATACTCTAAGTCTGCGAAATGGAGATAGGTGGGCACTAAGCAACAGTTCGGATTCCCTACTGTAGTTAAAAAGAAAAGTACTAATCTTATCATAAAATCAAGGGATCTGTGGTACGGTGAAATTTGTCTGTCGATAAAGAATATATTTTGACGAAAACATGTTAAGGTGTCTCGCGAAAGCATTCACAGACTCCTGACACATCACACCGACTTATGACGTAAAGAGCTCTGGAGGATAAACATTCCGACTCTGTATGATTGCATATCGCAACGGATGCAGCGCCATACAAACGGGCCAAGGGACCGCCACGTGTTTGTTTAGAGAAGGGTATTCTGACCATAATTTTGCTGTGTTGCATTTCGCAAGGCGCAATGGACAGTGGACAGTTACGTGACTTTATAACATGTGTAAATGATTCAACTCAGGTCAGGAATACGCTGTATTCATCCACGAGAGTAGGTATTTGGAAAGTGGAGTAAACAAGTCGAAAGACGTAAATGGAAATATGATTGTATCCGAATAGAGGTGACCATGGGCCATATTTTTGTTACTATCGCTAACTCGGTCTATAAAGAGTAGGTGGGTAAATATTCAAACGAAGTAGAGCAAAAGGATTTCTCTAAACCAATGAGCGAAAACTGAGAAAGTTAAAATTGAGCTTTGCGAGAGGAGCTTCATCAAACTGCCAAAGCGGATCCTGCATGCAGGCCATCGCAACCGAAGGATGTAAAATCAGGTATGTGAGAATTGCGAAAACACCGTAGACCACCGTATAAGAAACACCAAAGGCCGACTTGGGACGCGAAGTATACTTGGTACAATGACCGCATGTGTCTACGGAGCCACTAGAGATGTGCGCGAAGTCACCCCTTAGTGCACAGGGCTACAGTTCGATGACAGCATTTCCGTCCGGTATGGAGTCTACATGTTTTCAGTCCAGGAGCCCCGTTGACTTAATATGTAAGATGCGCATATTGCTTACTCAAAATCATAAAACAGATCATGAAAGTTTGCTGGGCCATTTCATACTGGGAGACTGTACAACTGTATATGTACGGAAATGACACGAGGGTGTAGAGTCGCCTTTCAAAGCTTAAACTCCGATAGATAAGCCACAGGATCGAATTTTAGATAAATGATTGAATCAGCGGATCTGCTGTTCCTCAGGACTGAGACTGACGGTGCCAAATTTTGATTAATTATCGAAGAAAATCAGATAAAAATGTAAATGCTTTTGTCGAAAGAAACACCATTCTTCAAAAACCCTAGATCAAGATATCTAAAAGCGGGCGGCAAAGCGATAGTGATACTGGGAGAATATCCAGCGGCGCCCGTAACCCAGTGTGATTTAGCTTGAAGTCGGTAACCTGTGTCGGGCACTGGTTTACTCTTGATTTGTCTTATGCATGCACAAACATAGGCTAGCTATTAGTTTAGGACTGATAACACTATCGTGCAAAAACAGTAGGCATCTGAAAAAGTGAACATGGTGGCCAGTGTCGCAGTACGACGAGTGCGTTGAAGTGGGATAGCTCAGCTAACTTTCTTGATGAAGCCTCTATTAGAAAATCCACTGAAGGGCCATTACAGACGCTACCCAAAAGTGACGGTTCCATGAGAAAACGGACGGAATATAAGTATAGGTGTGTGCACGCTCTGATGAAGATGGTAGGTCGCATCTAATAACAAGTGAGAACGACGGTCTGTTTTCTGCTTTTTCAGAGGATAGATTATTCATAGCCTAGGGGACAACGAGCACAGTGTGAAATCGAGTGCGGCGCTCGAAATTCAGCTAGTCAATATACTATGTGGACTCAGAGTGGAGCGGAAGCTCAGTATGATTGTGATTGCCAGAGAAAAGCATAGCTCGCAATGTCCTCTGCAATCCACGAGGCGACGGAATGAACAGTTTTGTGCTTCTTCCTGATCCGATGCTACTTGAATCTCCCTTCCTACTCAAGATAGATCGTGTCAGATTTATGTCGGAAAACGTTTTTTTAGCAGTTACTCCTGAATTGCAGTTCATAAGATGGGAATCTAAGACTATGTCAAACTGCAATCCCCCCGCTTGGTGTTCACTTTAGCTGTGTCGAGTGAACGTTATGCATTGCAATGCGCTTGCAAAGCAAAATACGCAGACTTTCTTGCCGGGTGCAGCGGAAAGATGATCAGTTGGTAACATATGCTGTAAAATACTTTCTTCCTCCTAATGTGTGATCGAAGTGCAAGAGGCGACTAGGAAGCAAGCGGCCATCATACCCATGCTCTCTCTCGAGACGGGAGTGTACGAGTGGTTGTAGCTTACACTGACTCCTCCAGAAACGCATGCACATTGTGACGGCAACGAATATGCGGTAGACCGATTTCCGAGAGTCGGAATGATACTATTTGGAATGAAGTACGAAGCGTGTATTGACAGGATTTATGTGATTTATGATTGACAACGTCGAAATCCTCCCTGCAATCGCAAATAGTGAGCAACAAAATCCCATCTTAATCTGTGCAACCGTATGCAACGTTATCCGGATGGGACGTTTTGTGATACATGAGAACTAGGACGATTTACTGAGCCACATCAAACTCTCAACGTTGTCTAGTCAATCAAGTGCCTCAGAGTGTGCACTTGTTTGTAGCTGAGTGATATGCACTGCTCACGAAAAGCACCAGATGTAACCAGGCGAGCGCATCATCCTAGTAAGATGATTAGCGAGACATTGGTGGTTCAATGGGCTAATATTCTAAGCTGGGTGGTTATTCCCAAGTAGCAACTGCTTGGACAAGGGGACAAACAGTAGCTCATTTGATGGCGTATAACGGTTCATATTAAGTAGTAGCGTTGGCTGTACCAGGGCGATCATTCGCCGCCAGATTCGTAACGAAAGACAACAGTGCTCATCGAAAGCAATCTACCAGCTTTATGACAAAAATATTCACTGCACTATTATACTTGTACAATCCCAAATCGTGTCTCGTAAAGAGGTATAAAGTAGCTTGTTAATTCAGTACAACCGAATGGGTGTATGGAGTAACATGTTTGCTGGTATCTGCGAGTCATGGGGGATTCAGAATAAATCTCAACGCAGGTAGCATCCTAGTATGCAACAAGATGTGGCTGGGGAGTTTCTTTTAGCATGACAAACTGAAAAACAGTTCAATAGGAACAGACAACGCTTAAACAAGACTTACCTCGGGTGCGCGTTCTTCGACAGAGAACAGGCCGGATAATAGATTGCAAACTGAACATTGTGTTTGAAAATGCAGAACGTACGTTTTGATAAGTGTTCAGAATCCATAGGTGATTCGGTCATTCCATCAATATTCTCTTGATTGTCCTATTGTAAAGTCAGACCAAATTGCCAGCCTAACTTGTGTATTCAGTTGGTTCATTATATCTTCTGGCTGTAGGGAACTGCGCCAGTGTGCGCTATCTGTGATCATCGAAGGGGAGTATAATTACGCTTACCATTTTCGCAACCCTGCGCCAGCCGCATTATGGCGTCTGCATAGTTGTTAAGCCCTGAGAAGTGTTTCGGTAAGAAAAACGAAGGCAAACCTTTCATGTTGTCCACACATCTGGCGTAATCGTAAAGTAGTTTGTCTAGGGTAAGGTGATCCACTCTACAACAAAGCACGATGTGCGATTTAGCGGAATTTACTTCGGTTGACTCAACGTCTGGAGAATAGCTCGTCTGAGACAGGCAGCCTGAACGGAAGGTAGAGCATCTTTTACTATTTTGTCGTCCAAGTCGATGATGTACCCACCGGGTAACATAGTCGACAGACTTGTAGCGCTGCAAATGATAATGATGGATCATGAGTTGAAGTGACTAAAGATGCTGTCAGTGAAGAAGTGGACTGATGAAGCAAGTTGAAGTATTCAATCGACACATCGCTCGAAATACTAGGTCGTTTTACTAAGTTCAATACAGAAGAGTAGTAGGGGGAGTTGAATGGTATAGGTAGAATTTCTTCACATCTAGGCTCACTCAGACAGCCGCCACACGCCCGGAAATGCACTGTACGCGCGTTTCATCCTTTCGGGAATCATCAGCAGTGCGCATTTCATCGGACCCTTGTAGGGCTCGAAACCGCAACTCGACTGTTGCCAGTCCGTGGTTGAGACCACTGAGCTACGGGGGACAGCTCAGTGGTCTCAACCACGGACTGGCAACAGTCGAGTTGCGGTTTCGAGCCCTACAAAGGATCCGATGAAATGCGCACTGCTGATGATTCCCGAAAGGATGAAACGCGCGTACAGTGCATTTCCGGGCGTGTGGCGGCTGTCTGAGTGAGCCTAGATGTGAAGAAATTCTACCTATACCATTCAACTCCCCCTACTACTCTTCTGTAATCAGTACACAGAACAAACTGCTTATAATGCCATAAGATAATTGGCGGCTTAAGTTTGTTAAGCTCGTCGCTTGGTGAGGGGGCTACCCTGTCCTCTGCACAGCAGTAACGTGTAAGTCAGTGGATAGTGAGCGGCGCTATATCACATCTAGTAACTTATTCACGATGGTCGTTGCTGTCCCCCGTAGCTCAGTGGTCTCAACCACGGACTGGCAACAGTCGAGTTGCGGTTTCGAGCCCTACAAAGGGTCCGATGAAATGCGCACTGCTGATGATTCCCGAAAGGATGAAACGCGCGTACAGTGCTTTTCCGGGCGTGTGGCGGCTGTCTGAGTGAGCCTAGATGTGAAGAAATTCTACCTAAGTTCAATACGTTGGCGACATTGATGAGTGGCCTGTTATCCGAAAAGGTCGAGATGAACAATAATAAAATACATTCATTCAGGTGGGCACAAATTACGGAAAAGTGCTAGACTTGAAAGTTATTCGAATGTGACTTCATTGCAGGTGAATCGTGGTAACGGTTACGAACGAAGGAGCACAATTCCCGATTGAGCAACAATTGATCGCAAATTGGGGGCGAAGACCGAGATCGGTCTGCGTGATGAACGCTCGGTAGACAAGTGGTCTGTTAGTGAAATGGAAGGTCAACTGTCGCACTGTGTTATACAAGTAACCAATCGGACGCACCGACTTCATCAGAGACTACCATGGATGGAGAAGCCGTACGAATTTAGCCGGTGTAATTGCGTACCTTTGGGGTGAATTCCTAGGCAGGAAGAACATGGTTACTCAAACAATTGAGCGCCACTCTGGCAGAGGTAGCCTACCATGGAAGACCAAGCCAGCATCAGGAGAAGGTTTCACCTCTCAGTAGATAAATAAATAGTGGAAGCTGCATCCAGAAGTGTTCGTGATAGCACGCAGAGTGGAATGAGATACTCAGTAGTCATATTCTCATGCTGATCATGCTCTAGTGCGCGCACGCGTGCTAATTAATCTTCAAATCTCGGCGAAGCGCTCAACCCCCAGGCTTTTCACTCGCAACCTGGACTCACAATCCGTAACGACAATGTCACGATGAACTGATTCATCAGTTGTCACCTATGAACAAGATGTGCGGGCCGAATACCATTCGCTCACGAAAGGCAAAGCGTGTTATGTTCCTGCTGACAACATACGTAGCGCACGATACTACTGTTGCGAATCCCTGGCGGAGTCAACAACTTTACTAAATCAGGAAACGATCTCGTTAACACGCTTTAATAGCATGTCATGTAAGAAGCTAATATATCATCGATCCCAGAAATATGAGTACAGTGGAAAGCTAAAAGCGAGCAATTGCTTTCGATAATTACATCAAGCTTATACAATATTATATATGGGAACAGTGTTGACTTTCATTCGTCAATACAAAAATGTGATGGTTGATTACACTAGCTAAAGCGTGATTATACTGCTAATCGGCGTACCATCAAGCCACTTAAAACAACTTTTGTTCAGATATGTCTTTGATGTGCAATTCCCATTCAACGAGCCGTACAGACTGCAAAGGTGTGGTAATGGGATCACCTATTGGTCCGGTGCTAGCGGATATCTGCGTGGGAATGGTGGAAGATGGTCCACTACAACTGATCACCACTGGTTTGAAACTCTACGACGATGTGCGGACTATAAGATATTGTATTAATGATCGGTTAATCAACTTGCAGGGCATAATCGATTGTTTCAACAATGCCAAGTTTGCAGTCGAAGAAAACAAAAAGCAGATGAATTTCCTGGACGGAAGGGTGAAGATGGATCAATCCAAATAAACTATGCAAGGAATCTTACTGGACAGGACAGCGCAAACTTTCACAGCTACGTTCTAATCAGCCGTAAGAGAACGTTGGCGCGTGCCCTAACGGACCGTATAAACAAAATCTGCGATGAAGACGCAACTACAGACGAACTCGGGGGAATCGAGGAAACCCCGCTCGAGAACGGATATCCAAATGCTTCACTGAAACCAATATGAAGCGAAACAGTACAAAAGTGCTAACGCAAGTTGTCGCAAAGAAACTACCGTATCCGAATCACCCATTCAAAGAAAACAACGCAGCTGTAATCTGCACGCATAGATTAGTGCAAAACTGCAGAATGGCATTTAATGTGGTCCATCTGAATGTAGTATTTATGAGCAAACTACTAGGTGTTCTTAGATTCAAAGACCGAGTGCCCGATCGTCCCCGGTCAGTGGTCATCTACCGGTTCACCTGTCCCCGTGGATCCGAGTACGTTGGATGCACAACCAGACACTCAGGTGAAATGATCAAGGTGCACTTCCGGAGTTTGCTCGATAAACACGAAGATTGGACGAATTGCGGCACACTGACGAAATACCTAAACACCAGCAACGCACATCCATGGACTAAGAGCAAGGTTACTTGCTACTGAAGAGACGGTGTGCATACGGCTAACGAGACCCGATCTATGCGTGCAAAAAGGGAATGGTACAGTCGTTGCAACCGTCATGGCCGGCTACTAGCTGGGAAGAATGGGAGCAGTCAGTAAATTCACATGACTCCTATCATTTGATCAACAGAATAGAATTGTGATCAAATTTAATAATTTATTAATTTAATTTAATAAATTGGTTCCCCTTTGTACTGACGAATGATACTAAAATTATTCCCGGTGGCCGAGTGGTCTGCGCACCTGGCGTGCAATCATAAGGTCGCCGGTTCGAATTCGTGTATGCGCGGGCGTCCTAGCAGTATACTCAGCCCACGCGCGACTGGTGGTGGTCACGCGGCAGCAAAGCGCCATCACGACGTACAGCAGACGATTTTTTATATTACTGTATAAGCGTAACGAAAAAAATCGAAAACAATTGCTCGCTTTAATATGATCAGAAAGTGTGTTTAATAAAGTAGTGGCTCCGCTTATATTGCTGAGCAGGCAACCCTCCCAAAAACTTCACACTCGTAATGTGAACTGATGCTTCGCTGCCAAATAACCATGATCACCTAAGGAATGAGAATTAATAAGGATATAAAATACGAAACCTAGCATTTAGCCTAAATACCGCAAGCAAACATTCAGGACATTATCACTAACATGCGGTCACAAATATCTGACCGTCATGCGAAAACAATGCAGAGTCATCTTTGCAGCCTTTATTGCACATCATAAGCAGCCACTACTCTGTAAATAAGTTGTCAGTAGCACACACAATTTAAACAGGCAATCCGACTAGGAAACGATAGTAAGTCCGCCACATATGCAGGCTGCGAGCCATGTTATGTAAAGTATCGAGCCAAGCACAAGGTGTGACTTATGGTCTCCAAGCCGGAGGAGGAAATGGATCGGCAGTCCTTTGTTTGGTGATGGGGGGCGGAATCCGGCAGGGGTCCGTTGGAAGGCACACCCCTGAGGAGGCCCAGAAGGTCGAAACGCCAGCGTCTGGTGCTTTTCCAGACTAGCCTAAGCCTGCTGATTGAGAGTGACCATGATGAATCAGCTGAAGTGCCTTGTTTAGCCGACAATGACTTCTGTTTCTGTTACGAAGCCAACCTTTGCTCCAACTGAATCATTGCGCCATCCTATAAACGGCAAACTAAAGACCAACTTGCTAACCAGTGACTTGGCATGAGTGGCAGATGCTTAAGCCAGCGCAACTTATTCAATATTATTCTCTATACTAATAAGCTGGCCTGATTATTACCACATAGTACTCTCATTTGCACATCGTTGCGGACACACTGGTGCCATCCGACAACAACGATGATCAAAGAATTGAAGGTTCTTGAGACCGAAGGGGTCAGTTCTTACTATCTCGGAATATGCTTGGAACCGACTGGAATTTCATGATTTCAGAAGGTTTTGAATACAAATCGGTTTTGGTAAGGTTTTATTGTGGCAACGTTTCGTCCTTGACCCTTGGCCTGAAGAAGCTCTTGTGTCAAGGGAGAAACGTCGCCACAATAAAACCCTACCAAAACCTATTTGTATTCAAAACCTTCTGAAATCACCGGGTCAGTTCTTAGTTTCGTGGAGGAAAACGGCCGTTGTCGTGGACATGTATACACCGCCTTTCGGACAGACGGAAATCCCGCTTCTGACGCCACAGATGTCTCAAGTTCAAGAGGACTGTTTTAACTTTCGTGGTAAGTGAGATAATCTCAACAGTCATGAGTCCATCGATGGGAATGGATGGGAAAATGAACTTATCACGGATGAAAAATCAATATGCTTAACAGTGTTCGTAGCCAAAGTGAGACCAGGAATTAAGGTATCAAGAAGAAAACGCGTAGCGGTTGACTTACGGTAAATCTTACGTGGACACAGTTTGGTTACTTCGTACTGTGTCCCAGATAATTGGGTTAAATCAGGTAATGCAAGTGGTGTAATGCATCGTCAAGTCGGATTTTCAATTCCACTAACGTAGGAGTGGAGATGA